GTAAAAGTCCCAAGGACGAGAAAACAAGTAAGTTAATATTAAATCTAAAGGATAAAGAAAAATATGTGGTTCATATCAAGACTTTACAGTATTATTTGAAAATGGGAATGAAAATGGGTAAAGTCCATAGGATAATAAAATTTCAACAGCGGGCATGGTTGAAACCGTGGATTGACTTCAACACCGGTAAAAGGAAAGAAGCCAAAAGCGATTTTGAGAAAGATTTATTCAAATTAATGAATAACGCGGTGTACGGAAAAACTATGGAAGACAAGCGAAACCATATGGACTTTGAACTGGTTGATAATGAGGTAAGATATGAAAAATGCGTGAATAATCCAACATTCAAAAACCGATTTATTATAAATGAAAATCTGGTGGGAGTTGAAAAAACTAAAGCGAAACTGAAATTGGATAAGCCGATTTTCCTGGGAATGAGCATTTTAGATTTAAGCAAATTACATATGTATCAGTTTTATTATGATGTATTGAAAAAGAAGTATAATGAAAACATCAAATTGATATATACTGATACTGACAGTTATGTAATTCAAACAATGACTGATGATGTCTATAAGGATTTCAATGATATAAAGCAACACATGGATTTTAGCGACTATCCTGTTGAGCATCCATGTCATGACAAAACTAATAAAAAGGTCTTAGGAATGTTTAAGGATGAAGTGAATGGAAAAATCATTACTAAATTCATCGGATTAAAACCTAAATCTTACGCCTTCACAATTCACGGTGAGGTTGATGAACATAAGAAATCAAAAGGTGTAGTGAAACACAAAGTGAAAAAAGAACTGTCGTATCAGAACTACCACGAAGCATTATTTCAAAACAAAAAGCATGAAATCACATATAACTTCATCAGAAGTAAGTCACATCAAATATATTCAATGTCTCAAGTCAAGCAATCTCTCAGTAATTATGAAAACAAAAGGTTTTATATTGATGCTTTCACTTCACTGCCTTATGGGCATTATTCCATAAAATAATTATTTAAATAGTTCTAATAATATGAATTTATTAGAATTATTTTCAGGGACAGGCTCGGTTGGTCGGGTTTGGGATTGGGTTTGAAACTGGAAATGTGGGTTTGGGGATGAGGTTGAAACTGAAAACATTAAAGTTTATGTATTTGTTGGTTTTGGGGGAGTTGAAAATGGGGGATTATGCCCTTATTTTGGTGGTTAGGGATTGTTGGGATTTAAGGGTTTGCGAAGAGCTCCCTTGAAATTGGGGTTGGTCTAAAACATTGAAACAAAAAATCGGCGAGAGTTTAACCTTACACAACGGTTTAGGGTTGTAAGACAAAACGCCCGATACCTTGTAGTCGCCGAGGGAGGTGCCTTCTGACAAACAGGACTCACACGTGGGGGTTGGGGTTGTTGTTGTTGAGGTGGTGGTGTTACGGGTTGTTTTGGTTGAAGGCGTGTGAGGCATCCACAGCATCATAAAAATCCAGCATCATCAGCATCATCCAGCATCATCAGCATTGAAACAAAAGAAGGGGAGGTTGTTGCCTGATGGCTGATGCCATTTAAAAAACAAAAAACTATCCATTCCATAATCAACCCTCCCTTTTCAGCAAGGAGTGGTGGGTATGCTTATCTCTCCTTGACCCATTCGCTCCCCGCTCACTCCTCGCTCGGACAGGATGGGTGACATAAATGGTCACCCAGACCGAATTACGATTACGGAATGGATAGTAAAAAAAAGAAGAAAAATAGCCGCCAATCCCCTAATCAAATGCACGACATTTTTAGTGTCGCACATCCGATTGACTTTGTTGTTGTCTTATTTTTTTAGATACACGGAGGTTCATTCACAATTTCCCGCAGGAAAGTGTTTTCCCAAATCTAACAATAATGACCTCCTCAATCAGAGTGTCTGCTCTCATCTGCAATGCATTTTTAGCCCGCAAGCCTGCTCAGTTAGGTATATGATACAAATGCTCCAGACCTGTGCGTCGTCTGGCATTCGAACACGGTTTCGGGAAACAGTGTCAATTGCTGAACACCGCAATTGGAATTGCATAACACCACAAATGGAATTGCATAAAACCGCAATTAGAACCCCGAAATGGTCAATTTAGGTGGGGTTTCCGAATTGCGCAATTAAAACAATGGGCTCTGACAATTAGGGTATTGCAATTGAAGGAATGAGATGAAGCAATTTACACCCCGAGACCGTTGGCAGGTGCAAATCCGTTGGCCACGTTGGCACTCTGACCCACCTTCTCATGCTCAATGTCTTTCACAAGTTTCGTAAGGTCATCCCAACTAATATTCCCTGCGCCATCAGCAAAGCAGTAGATGATGGAGCGATGGATGCACAAGACCATTGCCTGTTTCACCATCTCTGACTGCGCCGTGAGTTCTTTCAGATGCTCTACGTCCTGACTGAAAAGGATGTCAGAGACATATTTGCAACGCTCTGCCACTCTGGTTGAGTGTCCCTTCACTTCACGGAGTTTCGCCAACTGCTTGATGGACAGAGCGTTCAATGCCTCCGTCATGGAGAAGGTCTCGGTGTTGATTTGGTTCTCCACCTGCAAAATCTTGTTTGCTACCATCGTGATGCAAGGAGAAGCACCTCGGTTCATGTCGCATCTCATCAAGGTCATGCCGATGCTGTCCTGAAGCTTCTTTCCAGCATCATCCTTGTTCAGACCAGACACCACATTGCCTGATCCTGAGACCTCGCTTGAGTTGTTCTTGGCACGCTTTCCACCTCCGCTCAACCCACCAGTCAAAGCCACATAGACGGTGGCCCTGTCGGCAATCATGTTCTGGGCAATGCTCAAGTGAGGGTTGGTGTCCTCGCCGTTGCTCTTCCTGATGTAGTTCCGATGTGGCGGAATGCCCCAACTGCCATAGACTAAGACGCTCAACTGCTTCACTGACCAAGTCGGATTGACACGAAATTGACGTGAGCCTCGTTTCTTCACATTGACCATCACGTTGTTGGTGATGGTGATAGTGATGAACTTGCCTAGCGTCAAGTCATCGTCTCCACAATCGTCATCACTGCTGCTGTCTCCATCATCTCCTCCATCATCTCCTCCATCGTCTCCTCCATCGTCTCCTCCATCGTCTCCTCCATCTCCGTTGCTTTCATGAGCATCCTCATCTTGACCATCATCTCCTCCAGGTTCTCCATGATCATGACCTGACTGGAAGGACGGCTTCGTATCTGCTGAAGAGGACATATCCTCTTCCATCTTCTGGACTGTCTTCTCCCAAGTGCTGATGAGAACTTCAACGACGACGTTCTTTTTGGAGTTGGTCTTCAACTTGAGTTTGCTATCCTCGCTCAATAGCAAACGTAGCTGGTTGATGGAGAGTTTCATCAAGTCCTCCTTGTTCAAAAGCCACTCAGGTGTAGTCCTTCCGATGACGCCAACGTTTTCGATGAAGAACGGTTTGACCGTCTTGTCGTCATGAGCAACGAAGACGAGAGAGGGCATCGTGACTAAATGCGTCTCTACCTACTGAAAATGAGCAAACTGGTCTGACAGGTGAGTCATGTGTATGTTCTCAATCTGTTCATGGCAAACTTCGGACATCTGAAAACAAGCTCAGAACGCACTCCTGATTGTTGAACGTCTTTTTGAGAGAGACACGGGCTTCTCGTTGGTTTGCAGCCATCACATGGTGGATGCTGACATCGACTTCCGCAAATTGGGCAAACTTTCACCACACACGGCTGTGAAATGTTCAAACATGAGCATGTGATGGGGAAAGTGCGGTTTTACTGCCCACTATGCTTGAACGATGTCACAGGGAAATACAAGTGGTGAATCTCCCTCTCAGTTGTTCTCGTCAAGAACGTCTTCCTCCTCTTCCTCCTCCTCCTTCTCCTCCATGAAGTCAGCCACCGTGTTGCCGGCCAAGATGTTCTCGCCGATTGAAGCCTGGAGAGTGCATCCCATAGCGATGCCCATCTTCAACGCTGTGGCTCTGGGCTTCTGTGTCAATTCCTCACCGTCCATGGTCAAAACCATCTTGTTCGTCTGGTTCTTCTTAATCTTACCAAAGCCGGAGGTGTTGAAAGTGGTCACGATGGTGCGACGAAGCTCCCCGATTGTACTTGAGCCTTGGATGACCACCTTGAACGAGTACCCGAACAACTGCACGAAAATCTCCATAGGCTTGTTGCGAGCCTCTTCGCCCTCCCGCTTCTTCTGCTCTGCACGGGCTTTTGCCTTTGCCTTGGCAGAAGCGGCATTCGATTCCTTATCACGTTGCTTGAGCTCCTTTGCCAAAGCACGGCAGGTCTCGGTCATCTTCTCTTGAGTCTCAACCATTTTGGGTAGGAGGGTTCGCAAGTCATCGCTGGAGGATGCTGCCACATCTCCCAAAATGTCCTGAAATCCCAAGGCTACAACTGAGCAATCAAAGCATCCATCTGCTCCATCTCGCTCGGTGTCTGGCTTTCATCATGAGCATCATGAGCAACAGCATCGGAGTAGCCACCGCTCACATTCTGCTTAGGCGCCATCGTGCTAAGAAGGCAAATCACACAGGCACTACTGACTGGAAATGTCAAAAGCTCAAACGAAGCCAGAGTTGTTCGAACAAGTCATGCCAACGACTGCGACAAACGAAAACAAATGCACCACCAACACCCCAGAACTTGACAACTACTAAAAGGGCCAACTCTTTCAAATGAAAAAAATGTCGGCCCCCAGCCCAACAATGAACAAGGCGACAATTTACCCAAGTGATTACCTTAACGAAAACGATAAATAAGCTCCCTAAGAACCCTCTTTTCAAAACGAATAAGGGGGAACACAGATTTGAGATGAACATAAAAACCAGAACAGGCAACCCTCAACAGGCCACCCCCCGGGCCCCCCCTTTTCTCCATTTTTTGGGGGGGGACTCCTCTTTTTCCATTTTTTTTTTTGGGGGGGGGGGGGTTGTTTTTGCAAACGGGACATTCAGAAGGGGTCCAACTCGAAACACGACATCCCGGCGATGCGGCAGGTTCTTGCCGGGCATGGGCAACGTGGACGACGGCGCGGGCACGGCCAAGCTCATCTCCTCCAAGCTCATCACGGCTCTGCGGCCTGGCCGCGAAAGCTTTGGCATTTGGTTGCGCTTGTCTTTCTTCTTCTCGTTTTTTGTTGCTTGTGGTTTTTTTTGGTGCTTTTTTTTTGAGGGGGAGCTTCCTTCTTTTTTTTGGTGGCGGCTGGTGCGAGAGATGCAGGGAATGAGAACTGGAATGAGAAATCTAAAGACCATCGAACTGAGTTCCTTTAAGGGGATTTGCAGGTTGATCTCCAGGTTCATTCCCTGCTTCCCTTGTTGGAACTTCGGGGCGCGGCTGAGGTCCACGCGGACGTCCTGCCTGATCATCTTGCTGGTGATGATCATGCCTCTGTTCAACCTGTGGGCTTATCCGGAGGAGGACCCATAGCCCCATGCCCCAAATCGGGGAAGCCGTGTCTTTCCTTTAACCACCACCCGACAAAGAAGGGTTCCCTCCAAACAGACACTTCGAGGTTTGGGCTTGTGGCTCGGAAGTTAGGGGGAACATGTACCAAAACAAGCACTAGGGTTCAAAGCCAAAGCCAAGGGTTGGATCAGGACTGGTCGCCCAGTTCCTTCGTGGACATCATGGAGACCACCTACTCCCGGGCCCCCAGCCGCTTCAAGCTGCAGCTGGCGGAGGTGACCAGTTTCTACGAGGACAAGCCGGGCCCCCAGCACGGTCGTTCGATCCCAAAAGCGAAAGCCTTCCGAACGAGGACGTGGGTGGCTCGTTTTGTTGAGGGTAATTACTCCTTTTGGCTTCTTAGGGAAACCAAGCGGAAAGCCGTTGCGCCATTTTGGGCCCCAAAAGATGAGCCACCCAAATGTGAGGGGTGCACCAAGTGCGCGGTTGACCAACCGAGAAAAACCAGTGGTCTTTCGCTTGTGACCCTCTTTTTCTCAGTCGGGGAATGGAATTTTCGTTGTATCGTTTCATCCTTGCGTCAAGTGATGCGCCGAGAGCGCATTGGTTGAGTTCTATGCGTGTCGGTCGAAGAATATCGCGAGTGAGTCTCAGCCTGAAGTGAGAACTTGCTCCAAAAGCAATCCATGCTGGGAGCCGCCAGCCCCAAAGGCGCTTGGGGCCCAAGAAAGGTGACAGAAGCCAAGGAGATTGTGCCGCTCTCCCGCTCAGGTCCTACTTCCCGTGGAGGGTACGTGCCAAGGATGAGAGTAACGTGGACCCGGAGGTTGCAGATGCCTTGCCCTGGCTGTCGCCCAGAGAAGCGCCGTCGCGCATGAGCAACACTGTGGCAAGCCGACTGCATTTGAGTCAGCTTCAAAAAATCCCGTCATTTACTTTGTGTAAGAGTGTTTTCATGCACATATGGCTTTTGTTTTTCTCGAACGATACCGGACGTCCTAACATCACCCCAGACGAAAAAAATGGGGAGCCTTGGGGCCTTGAGCTTGTGAGGTCTTCACAGGGGGCCGCTTGATTGTGGAATTCAACTTCATGTCTCCCAACCAGTTGGACGCGTGGATGAATGCCACTTGGCAACCAGTGCTCTGCATCAATGGATGCAGCCGTGTTGCCTCGAGGTGGTGCTCCTGCTGGTTGTCATGGTCCTGTCGCTCGGCAACGGTATGCGTCACATGGCCCCCTAGACTGGCTCTCATGAGCCGGTCTGCCTTTCTTCCTTTTTTTTTGTGCCCTTTGGTGCCCTTATCGTCATTCGAACTTCTCAAAAAGATGCCACGCTTTTCCCCTAACTCTGGGCGCTCGAATTGGATGGCTGGGATCCGGCTCGCCAGGATGATCGCGTTTTCCTTGATCCTCTCCCAGTCGGTGTCCAGCATCGTCCTAAAGCCTTTGGAGCAGCTGCTCACGCAGGCGGGGCGGCCCTCGGCCCTGGCGCCGCGCTTGGGGTTCCGTTTTTGGGCGCGGGGACGCTGCTGGTTGACGGCGTGTGAAGGGTTTGCGTCAGGAAAGAACTCGGAGAAGTTCAGGGTAACAGCTGTAAGCTGCCCACGAGTTGAACCGGCGGCGTGGTTTCGACTCAAGCGGCCAGTCGTTGGCCGACAGGTGCGACAAATGGCCAACACGATTTTCCGGCGACGCGGCTGCACGGGGGCAACCGACAGGTCGGCCGATTGTTTAACGGCGAGCGGAATCGAGGTCCGTGACCGACATGGAGGTGGTGATGAAAGAGGACGCCAGGGATGACAGGTCAGACCAGGAGCGATGCACGTGGTGTTGCAGCACGTGTGTGGTTTTTCTGAACCCGGTTTGCTCGAGGTTTCCCTTCAAATCAGGTAACCCTTAGCCCTCCAAACCAACTGCGGGAAGCTGAGTTAAAACCGAAAGCACCCCGAAACCCTCAAAAAGGGTCTGAAAAGCGATTCAAAAAGTCGTGTTGCTTCAGGAGGATAGCACGGAGGACTCGAGCAACTTCGGCAACGAGACGCAACTGCTCGCCAAGGTCGTGCAGAAATTAGCTGTGATCAGCGCTGGCCTGAGAGGTCAGTGTGAGGCAGCCAAAAAGGGCCTTCTGCTTTTCGCGGAATGAAAGTGAGCAGATGGTTTTGAGGCTCTCTAAAAAAATCACAACCTGAGCCAGCTTTGTATGTTTGAAGCAGACCGCCAGCCGCAAGCCGTTCCATGTCGCGCGTGGATGTGCAAAGCAACTCTCGGGCTCGAAAGCCGCGCCTTTGAAGCCGGGCCGAGGCGAGATCACCATGAACAAGCCGGTGCTCGACGCCCAGACGCTGCAGAACTTGGCCGAGGGCGACCGCGCGGTGATCTCGGGCTTTCAGGGCACCGCGACGCATGACCGGGTTGGGATGGGACGGTGGGGCGGGACCCCGGGACTGGGGGCGCCGGCTGTAGACCGCATTGGGCGAAGTGGATTTGTGGTGCGGCAGCAGTAGGTGTGGACACTGGGCAACATTGGCGGTTGTGGGTTGGTGTGTGTTTTCGTGCTTTTGGGAGGACACGGAGTTCTTCGACCACGGGGAGGAAATGGCGCCTCGGCGAGCGCAGCGAAGCCTCGGTTCTCGGTGAGCGCGACTCTCAGGAAAACGTGCTCGACATGGAGGCGATCGAGCTCGCGCAGCGCGTGGCTCGACACAAGCCGAGACCGGCGTTGCCGTTGGAAGCAACGCTTGGGCGGTTTTTGTGGTTCCTTTCTTTTTTCTTTTTTCTTGAAGCCATTCAAGCGCCTGAGGCCATGATGGAGAACGCAGGTCTTTCCATGGAGCTTCTGGACTCGTGGAATTTGAATCCACTGGAGCTGCTCGGCGTGATTTTCCCATAACCAGTGAACCAGTTGAGACCTGAGGCTGGACAAAGCTCGGCGACCCGGCCTGCATTTCGGTCCACTTCCTCAGGGTTTATCTGCATGTTGATGGCCCGTGCAGAGATCTCAGGCTTGGTTGCCCTGTGTTTGGTTGCTGGTTTGGGTGGCTTGTTGGCCCCTTCGGCCCCCCATCCGATCTCAGGAATCACGTGGCAGTGCCTTGGCTTGAGCAGCTAGGATGTGTCTCCGGTCCACATGAGTGTCTGGTTTTGAGGGCTCCCTTTTTTTTGGGGGGGGGAGGGTGGCTTAAAGAGAGAAACGCAGAGGAAGCGCCCCCAATTTCACAGTGAGCACTGTCGGGCAGCGGGTCCGCAGACCGAAGGTCAAGGGGAGTAACGAAGGCGGAGGTACGCCATGGCCCTCGAGCCCAAGATGTCTCATGGCGGGTAAAGCCTCCCCTCCCAGATCAGATGTGAAAATCTTGCCATCTGAAAATGAGAAGCTCGCAATCGACCAAATGGAAGGTGGGCGCCCACAGACGAACGATGCGCCCAGGCCATGTACTTCTGCAGCTCGCACAACCACGGCGTCGAGTTCGACTCTGCAGCTTGCCGGAAAAACCGGGGCATTCAGAGTCGCCGCGTGAGATTTGGGTCTGTCTTTTTTTGTTGGGTGCCCTTTTTTACTTGGGTTGTAATGGAAACCAAAGGGAAAAGCCAAGAAACACACCCATTTGCTGGCCAGGTAGTCATGGGCAATTTCCTGAGTGATGCGGAAGCTGGCCAGGAGCTCAGCGAAAAGCACCTTCGCTGAGGTTTGGAAAGCGCAAAAAAAAAGCGCGGCCAAGGATACGTGAAATCCAGCCCTTATCACAACTGGTTTCATGTGACTTGATCTGCAGTCAGAGCAGAGTTCCGGAGTTCCGGGTGGTGCGTTGAAGCCGCGTTTGGTTCGGCGGTTCGTATAAGAATCCGATGCGAGGCCGTGGATTGCACACATGCGGTGTACCGCCTGCTGCTGATGTCTGCCGCTGATACCTTCCTCACTTTTCAAGAGCGGCGCCTGGGACGTGGATGTCCTCTGGGTGTGGCCCCTGTTTTCGGAGACTGCCAATGTTTTGGGGTAAATCGAATCAAAAGGACATCATTTTTTGGTTCCGGCCCTTTGTTTGTTTCGTTTGGGAATGTCGGCTTTTGGCTTTGCAAAAACGTTTTGGGCATAAACCACTTTGAACGTGGGGTTGCCTTCTGCACCGGGCAGCCGGGCTTTGGAATTCAGGTATGCGCTACTGGTTAGCGCCGTGTGCCATGATATAGGCCACCCAGGCGCGCCGCATGAATGAAGGCTGCGCAGCACGTCACCAGGATGTCAAAGAAGACCTCTTAGTTTTGTCCGCTTCAAGGCTTAAACAATGGCTTTTTGGTGGAGACCTCGCACGAGTTGGCGCTGCGGTACAATGCCGCTTGGCGCAACTCCGTTCTGAAAGCTGCGCGTTGGTTCTCCTATCCAAGGACAAGTCCCCGCTGGAGAACATGCACTGCTCGAAGATGTTCGAGCTAGTGGGGCAAGCGAGGTGTTGCTTGCCGGCATGTGTTCTGTTCAGATGACGAGTCAGGACCCTGGAGTTTTCTACCCTGTGAAGGTAACATGTGAGATGACGAGTTTTGATCCGTGGCCGAGGTAACATATTTTCCACGCTGTCGAAGTTGCAGTACTACGAGGTGCGCAAAGTCTGCATCGAGGCGATCCTGCACACCGACAACGCGCAGCACTTTACCATGGTCAAGGACGTGCAGATGCTCTACGAGGCGCGTGTCGCTTTTCTTTTGGGTCGCGTTTTTGGTGTGGGGACCTTCTGGCCGTGGGCAGAAGTGCGGACTTAGGTGAATGCGGAGCTTTGGGATGCGTCCAGGCAGCTCTTCCTCCAAGAGGACGCTCAGCTACGGCTCAAGTCAAAGGGGGCTGTCATGAGGTGCCAAATTTCATGGGTCAGGGATTTGGGTATTTTAAGGTCCTAAAAAAAAATAAGGGTTTTTTACTCAAACTTAAGGGTTTGCCAAAACCAAAAAAAGAAAAGCCCGGATTTTGAAGCAAATCTCAAAGTGTACTATTGATGCCAGTTTCCTCGAATCAAGAATCAATTTGCTTGCTTCCCAGAAGACCGCGCCGTTTCTGCGCGCTAAGCCTTAGGGGTAAGACAGCTTGACGCTCCTGCTGAAAGGGGTTTGGGGTCATCTAAGCAGAAATGAGTCTTGGCCGCCAAGAGGAAAGGGCTTGAACTGTTTTTCGGGAATAACTTCACTATGAAACTGCCTCTTCTGTACGCAGCAAAATGCGTTGTGTTGGAGCCCAAATTCTGCTCGTATTTTGGCAGATTGGGCTTGCGTCTGCGGCAATTGCGAGTTTTCACAAAGAAAGCAGTGATCTGCAACAAATCCTGCATGGGCACATTTTTTGGGTTCTGGCCACACACCACATAATACGGAGCAGAACGTGTTTTTCTTGGTAGGCGTTTCTCAGAGGCCCCAGGTTCCTCGTGAACAAACTCCGAACGAACTCCGAACAAACTCCAAGCGAACTCCGAACTCCGAACGAACTCCGAACGAACTCCGAATGAACTCCGAACAAACTCCGAGCAAACTCCGGACAAACTCCGAACGAACTCCGAACGAACTCCGGGCGAGCTCGGAACAAACTCCGAACAAGCGAACAAGCTCCGAGCAAGCTTTGTCATTGGTTGATTTCCGAACAAACCCCCGAGCCAACTCCGAACACACTTTGGCCACAAGTGATTACAGGGGCCAGTTTCAACAAGTGGCCTGGGAAGGCGTTCAGGTCCGGATTTATAGGACTTCAGCGCTGCGGAGGGCTAAAATCGCTACCGGGGTGATCACGCAGCTTGGTTGACGCTGAGGCTCGCTGTTGAAGCTGAAGCAAAGCTTAATCTTTTTGATCAAGGCTTAATCCGCGAAAAAAATGTTATTCCAAAAAGAAGAGCTTAAGTGCAACACCGGTGTTGAACTTAAGGGTTTGCCCGATTTGTGTAATGGCTTGCCCGATTTTGGTCGTATGAAATAGCTGTTTTCTTGCATGAAAAGCCTGGATTAAGCATGTTTCAATGTTTTTGCCCTGGTAACAGTAAATGTGTACGAAAAACGCATCAACAAGCTGTAATTCCAGTGTTTTTGTACGACCAAAACCCAAAAAGTTCAACACCGAAAAAAATAAGCTCCGAAAAAAAACAAAAAACTTAAGGCCAAAGTTCGTTCGGAGTTCGTTCGGAGTTCGTGCGGGGCAAGAATTAAGCCCCGAAAAAAAAAAACAATAAGCAAAAATCACAGCCTGAAAAAAAGAACGAGCAATAAAACAAAACAAAGCCGAACAACTGAAACTTAAGGCCGAAACACAAAAATCAGCTCCCCCAAAGAAAAATATGGCCAAAGTTTGTTTGGCGCTTGTCCGGGAAGTACATCCAGCCCGAAACATACATAACAGGGAAATCAAGTGACCAAAAGAACTAATTTCAACAAGTGGCCTGAGAACATGTTTGTTTGCCTCAAAAAACACCTTCCCAGGCCACTTGTTGAAACTGGCCCCGGTAATCACTTGGCCTCTTTTGGTAAGCCCGAAAAAGCAAAAAAACACAGCTTGGCCACCAAAATAATTGGGCTCAACAACATACTTATGGCCAAAGTGCGTTCGGATTTGGCTCGGGAACAATGCCAAAGTTCGCTCGGAGCTTGTTCGCTTGTTCGGAGTTTGTTCCGAGCTCGCCCGGAGTTCGTTCGGAGTTTGTCCGAAGTTCGTTCGGAGTTCGTTCGGAGTTCGTTCGGAGTTCGTTCGGAGTTTGTCCGGAGTTTGCTCGGAGTTTGTTTGGAGTTCATTCGGAGTTCGTTCGGAGTTCGGAGTTCGCTTGGAGTTTGTTCGGAGTTCGTTCGGAGTTTGTTCACGAGGAACCTGGGGCCTCTGAGAAACGCCTACCAAGAAAAACACGTTCTGCTCCGTATTATGTGGTGTGTGGCCAGAACCCAAAAAATGTGCCCATGCAGGATTTGTTGCAGATCACTGCTTTCTTTGTGAAAACTCGCAATTGCCGCAAACGCAAGCCCAATCTGCCAAAATACGAGCAGAATTTGGGCTCCAACACAACGCATTTTGCTGCATACAGAAGAGGCGGTTTCATAGTTAAGTTTTTCCCGGAAAGCAGTTCAAGCCACTTTCCTCTTGGCGGCCAAGACTCATTTCTGCTTAGATGACCCCAAACCCCTTTCAGCATGCGCATCAAGCTGCCTTACCCTTAAGTTTTTTTTGGTGTTGAACCGAATTCCCCACGCAAATTGGCATCATGACATCATGAGCCTCGCTTTTGAGGAAGAGCTGTGCCTAGCTCAAGAGGCCGTGGACACGCTGAAGCTGCCAGAGAGTCGGAAACTGCCGCTCGTCCAAGCAGCGTTGTGTTTTGTCCTGCTTCCGCTTGCCGCTTGCCGCTCTCTTCACCTGCCTTGGTGAGTTGCTGGCTCCGGCCAACACCGTGCCTGGCGCGAGGGGTCGGCCCGATCAGAAGCGCCAGAAAAGCCCCCCCCCCCCCCGTTCGGGCGCCATGGCCGCGGCGGCCGCGGTGGCGCACCTGGCGGAGGAGCGCGCGGGGAAGGTGGAGGTCACCGTGAAGGCTATGGGCTCCGCGCCCGCGCTGCGGCAGCCGCGCTTCACCATCGACGGGAGCAAAAAGTTCTCGAAGCTCACGTCCTATCTCAAGGCGAGGCGAGTGAGAACGACTCGGGTCAAAAGATGGAGCCTTCAGGTGCCGCCGTGTGCCGCGTTTCAAAGGGGGGATGCCAAACAGGGCCCTCTACTTTTTGAGAAACCTTCATTCACATGGACCGTGAGACGCCAGATTTGTAGTGCATCCAGAAAGCTTCTCCCCATCTGCTCGTGCAGGACGCGCTGAAGCTAGAGACGATCTACGTCTATTGCAGCGATGCATTCGAGCCCTCGCCCGACGAGCGACTTGCAGATTTGCAGAAATGCTTTGGCACGGGCAACAGGCTGAACATCAGCTACTCCAGCGAGCAGGCTTTCAATTAGCTACGAGGTTCGCGGGCGCCGCTGCGGTAGAATGTGAGCTGTGCCTCCCCCGAAAGCGTTTCGGGATCTGGAGGTGCGAGAGCTCGGAAAAGCTGCGCTCAAGCGCCGCCTGTACAGCGAGACCGGAGCCGGATGCAGCGGCATGGGGCGGCGGAAAGTGGCGCCGGGTTTCCACCTGACACTTAAAGCGGCGCTTTCCATTGGCCCCACTCTCTCGCCTTTTGGCTTCTGGCTTTCTTTCTTTTTTGGCTTTTCAACGGCAGCTTGCGGGCCGAGGATCGTCAATCTCATTCTGCACACCGCGGACATCTCGAACTCCATGAAGCCCTTCCGCGCCTCGGCGTTTCAGCACGTGAGACCGCGCATGCGTCGCGCATCGTGCGTGGCGGAGGAATCAGCCGGATCTGGGCATGGCAAGTCCTGGAGGAGTTCTTCATGCAAGGCGATGCCGAAGCGCGGCTGGGGGTGCCCCTTGCTCAGCTTCCCGGACTCCCTCACAGTCGCAGGAGTGTTTTTGGCTGTTGTTTTTTGCGTGCCGTCCTTCATTGCCCTTCCAGGTGATTCCTTCTGGATCATCTCCCCGAACCCCCAAGAGGTTCCATGGATCATCTCGCTGGCAAAGCTTGACATTCCGAGGCCCGTGCAGGCGCTCAATGACCGGAACACGGTGAACCGCCCCTTTTCCCAGGCACGGACCGGATATTCCCGTGGATTTTTTTCTCGATTCCTAGCGAGCTCGTCCCACTGGGCAGGTGGGCTTCATTGAGTTCCTGGTCTCCCCGCTGATTTTCGCGGCGCTGCTGCTTGGCAAGTCGAATCTCGAAGCGAGTCGCTGGTTGTGCAGAGCTGGCAAGAGATGGCCATGGGTCAAATTCCCGGACTCCCCAGTGAACATCCCAATCCCCACTAAAATAGGTTCAAAAATGGGCGGTGCACCAATCCCCCAAAATAGTACCACTGGTGTTGACCCACGGAACTCTGAGGCGAATCTTGCCTCAGACGGAGCACCTGGCAGTTCAGATGCTCATGAATGCGAGGCATTCGCGCGCTTGGTACTGGGCCATGAGATGTGGGTGCGTCATTTTTTCGAGCATGCCCCCTTTCGGGAGATTCGGAATGCCCAACTTTTGGAGGATTCCTTTTTGAGACCCTGCCACGGCTTTTACAGGTCATGGCAAAAGCAGTGGGAGAACGAGGGCAAGTCTCTTGGCTGAAAAGAATCCGACGGGTCCGGCTCCAGCTGTTTGGATCCCTGCATTATCGGAGGACTCCGCCCTCCGATAATGACAAGAAGCTGCTCAACGAGCGCATCCTCAAGCGGCTCGCCTTTCCCTTTCTGGGCACTTGAAGAAGTCCAAGCTCTTTTGTCATGGCGCCCTTGGTGGGAATCCGTGTGCCAGTAAATGTCTTCAATCGTATGGAGGTTGGTGCAAGTGGTAGGTGAAAGGGAAATCAAGCCAGTGGTTGACTTTGATAACCCCCGAAATGGACGGAATTCTCCATCCCCAGCGTACTAAGGATGGAGAACAAGTTTCGAAGCTGCCAGCTCGGCAAGACGCCGGAGAGGACTTGAGAGGCCTGAAGGCAGCTCTAGCTGGATTTGACCACACTGAGAGAAGAGCCAAGTGGTTGGATCAAATGTGTGGCTCGTCTCTTGTTGGAGTTGGTGCCGTTTTGTTTGTTTGTTTGGTGGTTTCAGAGGGAAAGCAACAGCAACACCCCCCCCCCCCCCGGCCTTTTTTTGGGGGCCTCGAAATAAAGAGACACCCTGAATGAAACAACTGTGGCCAAATCGAGATGTAGTCTTAGACCTGGGCCGCCTGGGCCTGCGAACGAATTCTCACACTCAGGATCTCAGGCAGATGTTTCATGTGACTCAGCTCGGAATTCAGGCGGAAAAGATGGGTGCCACGTCAACATGCCTTGATGCGAGTGATCATTGAGGGGGGTTGGCATGAAATGGCCGCAAGGCCAGTAGCCACCTGCTCAATGAGGAGCCATTGTCTGTTTGAGCAGCACAGGGCCTTCTGAAAAACTTTCTGAACACTTCCTGGCCCATTTGTTCATACAGAGCCTACATGGAAACAGAATACATTACACCACCGAGCAGCAGAATCAAGCAAGCCTCCTTCTTGAATTTTCACGCTGATAGAGTCTAGCCCTTGATCAGCACATCAGTGTTGTTTGGCTTATTCTTTCGCCTGCCATGCGCCGATGCACTGGCTACGCTGGCTGGCGCCGCGCTTAGCCGCGAGTCATTCAGCAGCTCGTGTGGTTCAACTTGCAAGCCACATTCCCCGCGGCAAGGCGCTGACGTTTGCCCTCACCAGGGCCGAATTGGAGTACGAGCGGGGTGCTCGCCGAATAGTTTTTTGAGTTGCTGTTGGGCCTTGCCCACAAAAGTGGCTCCGCTGTTCGCTCTAGGTTGTCGGTGCCGGAGTGCGGCGACGGCGACTCCAGGCCGCTGCGAGTGTCGCGCATGCGTTGCGCATGCGTTGCCGCAACGCATGGCTCTCGCTCTGCGCTTCAGGCACTGTGGGGGCGCTAGGCGCGCAGAGCTGCGTGACGACGCCCTGGAGGAGCGGAGATGCCATGCGCATGGCACGAGACCGTGGGCGCGTGGGCGCGTGGATGCAGGTGCTGTGGCTGATCGAGACCGATGCGGAATGCATTCGTACAGCCTCGGAGCCCGGCATTTCATTTAGGAACAGGGATTCCTGACTGAGGGCCCATGGGCCAGTTTCATAGTTCTAGACTACCGTTTATTGCAGCCTGTCTTAGTCGCCTCAGGCCGCAGATGACTTGCGCAAATGGGCGGCAGCCGGCAACCATGTGGTCGTGCAGCCCTGAGTCGCCAATTTCCAACGTGCACTCTCGGCAGCGCTTCACATGTTCAGGCCACTTGCGCCTACCCTGCGGAGCGGTTCTCAGTGCGACCGGGGGAGGGGGAGCCGGGGGGAGCCAATGCAACCACAAGGCAAGTTTCCGTTGACTTGCGAAGCGTCGGCAGCATGTTGCCGTGGCCGCCGTTGAGGCCTTCGGGCTCCGTGCTTTTGCGGCAGCTGCAGGCTGGGCCAGAGTCAATGGCAAGGGAGGCCCATTTGGTTCGGGGATGTTCGTGGAATACCTTGCTTACACGCGCTTCACGTTGGCTCGGGGCCGAGGTTTCCAGGCGAACTGCGATGAGCAGGTGCGCATGCGGAGATATCGCTTTCAGACCTGGCAGCCATTCTGAAATTGGTTCTTGTTTGACCTGCAGCATCCCTGTCCCTCTAGTGCGACCCCGTGCCAACGCTCAACCGCCTGCGGAGCCTGCTAGGTGAGTTCAAGGCCGGGTGAATTCAACTCGCCCCGAAAGCGGAATTTACCTTATGAAAACGGACATTCGCATTTTTTTCTGGGCAGTCAGGTGAAAATGCACGAGCTGGCGCCCAGTGGCAGCCCTCAGACCCACCGGGTGCATGGGTCCCGCCGCGCCGCGACTTGCGAGGTATGCGCCTGCCGCAGCCCATCGCCAGCACTGTGCGGCGCTACGTGCTGGAAGAGGCGCTGAATTGCCGCATGCCGCGGAATTCGGCGCGTGCCGTTTGGCAGAGATTGGTTTGGCTCAAAACTCGGGGGCACCCCGCAACATCGGCGGTTTCCTTTGGGCTGGTTCTCAGCAGGTAGCAAAAAATGAGCCGGGATGACACCCACAAACCGTCCAGCTGGTGGTCTTCCTTAACGGATATCCCTATCCCAACCCCCGGAATCCCAGTGAGCACCAGCAAGTATCAAACAGAAGAAACCTTCAAACCGGCTAATGCAAACCCCGGAGTCATAAACCCCTGGTGGATTAATAGGGGGGTGTCCCCTTTTAGTGGGGATTCAGACCACTGTTGGAGGGAACACCCCAAGAAAAGGGACGGGTTTTTTGACCAAGATCCGTCAACATGACCCGCCCTCACCCACGACCTCGTTCGAGGCGGAGCTCATCGCCGGGGCCTTCCAACGGCTCTGGAGCGCCGGAGCGCTGAACGCCTGGGCCGCCGACCCGCGCGCCCTCGCAGGCGCGGAGGGGTTTCGCGGATGGGAAAGCGCTGCAGTCGGACGATGTGCAGGCGAAGACAGGTCTTGTTTCTTCTTCTTCATTTTTTGCGAGCAGGGCGGAAGAATGTGTCCAATTCCTGTGCGGCCCCTTTCTTTTTTGCGACCTTGCGGACTTGCGGGCTTCGGTGCCGAACCGCCGAACCGCCGAACCGCCCGTGTTGGGTTTCCCCAGGTGCGGCTTTGCAGGCGGCCCAGCTGGCTGGAGAGCGGCGCCGCGTTTTGTGGTGGCCGGGGGCTCGGATTCAACAAGTCCAGATGTGCATCTGGGCATACGGGTCCAAATGAAGCCATCAAGCATTGCGGGTTCGTGTCCTTGTTTAACCATTGCCTGGGTTTCATTTTGTTGGCTCATTGCCCATTTTGACCCACAGCCAGTTGCAAGATCTAGAATCTAGAGCCGCTTTTGGCTTTTCCTGTGCACAGCCCCGGAGTTCTGCTGCCAGAGCGCGTCGGTTGGGCAATGCTTTGCTTCCTCGCACCTGAGGCGGACGAACATGCGGCTTGGCCTGACTCGGGCCTTGAGCGCCCGAGTCAACTGTTCGCCGCGCCAGGCTGACGTCAGTCGTCGACTTTGGCCTAGGCCGGGCCGCCTGTAACTGCGGAGTGGGAATGTATGGTTTGCTCTGGGCAGTTTCTACGGTTTTGGCAAGGAACCAGCACAGAGTCTTTTGGAGTCTAGGCCAATATGTGGATCTCGTGGCGCCTCGGTCCGACTTCCTGCTGACGCGGCAGGCTGCTACGGCCTCGGAGACTGCTGACGGAGTCGCTTTTCGGCGCGGGGGTTTTGGTACTTAGGTTTTGGAGCTCAAACCCATTCTTGGGTTGGCGTGTGAAGGGGTGTTCCTAACTTAAGTCCTCTTTTAAGACATGCCCATTATCCGCGCCACTCGCACGCGACGCCTGGTTGCCAAAGTTTGGTACTGTGTGTAACTTGTGAGCCTGGAGCTGCCTAGCATGTGATCTCATCCATATGTCAAGCTCATTTAGTTTTATTATTGGTCCTTCATCTTTAGTTTGTTCTTCTAGTTGCCCTTCTGACTTGCTGCCAACTCCTCGTTTCTTGGTATCTTGCTTTACATTTTTACTTGTTCAACTTCTGCTCTATGTCTAAAAGGGATTTTCCCGCAATGGGTTGGTTGGGATTCGCCAAATGCGATTTGGACTTTGCAACCCATGAGCGGGATATCATTTCCAGTGCGCGCGGCACTGAGAACAATGCACATTCACGCTGCGGCCTTGCTTTGCATGTTTGCCCTGGACTGTTGCAAGCTACTCCACGTGGACGCTGCCTGCTACGCATGCGCTGGAGCGATCTTGAGCCTTAGTTGGTATTGAAAGTGGCCCGTGGTTGTGAGAATGTGCAACCTTCCATTTTGGATCGCGCGGTACTCTTAAGTTATGTTGTATTGATCTTGAAGCTCTACTCCTCCATGCAGTTACACAAGAATTCGGTTGCGGGATGCCAACACTGGTGGCCCTCTTTTGGTTGGCATGCTGGTATTGAAAAGGAGGTTAGCAGGAAACCGTATTCTGGGAGGGACCCAGCCCTATTTTGAGAAGGACCGATTCCTATTTTGATAACCCTAGGTGAAGTGGCACAAGCATACCTCTTGCCAAGAATCATGGAAATTTGCTTGGGGGATGCTAAGTAGTCCAGAGCTTCCAGTGTAGGGAGAGGGTATGAGGGTGCGTCTCATTTTTAGGGAACCTCCCAATTTGGATTTCAGCTTCCTGTTGGTTTGCCTTTGACACAGGCCCAACGACTTTCTGGATACCGACCTCTAAAAAGGCTTCCGGTTTCCTGTTCCACATGTGCAGACCCTCCCCACAACAAAAAAACACGTTTCAAAATATGGGGGCCCCCGAGAAAAATGGTTTGCCTCTGGGGTTCCCAAAAGGGTTCCCTCTAAACGGCCACCAAGACGGCCGCGCCGTCCCCGGCTCCGGCTGATGAAGAACTTCCTGAGGCCCTGGAGCAGCTGCTGGGCGGCCCGCCGGCGGCCGGCGTGACGCTGGTGGAGGCCAGGGGCGCAATTTTGTAGAGGCGGACGGGGGGTCATTCGGCTATGATTTTCAAATTGGGGAACTCCCTAAAAAGTGATTGGTGGACAGAAATCCCCACACAAATGATGTCCACCAAAGCGCCCCTTATTAAAATTCTGGTTTCGACGGAATTCTGCAGCCCCCCCCTCCCCCAACAGGTCGTAAATTATGAAGAGGTCGAAAGAACCAGTAGTAAAGAACAAGTCGTAAACACAGGTGGTATATGGCAAAGAGGTTGAGTTAACACAGCAGAGCCTTCGATTCAAAGAAAGGATATATTTGGGTGAATGAAACCGACCTCACAGGACCTCACCCCAAATGGTGGTATGTGGGGAATAGCCCCCCAACCCAGAGATCCGCCGTTCGTCTCGTAGGTCGGGGTGCACCTCGCCCGCCTGGCCTTCTCACTGCTGGGCACCCACCACGGCCTGCAATACATCGGCCGGAGCCTCGCTTTCCAGCGGTTGCCAGGGGACACCTTTCGGTGGGGGATGGTAGGGGTTGGCTGAAAGGCCGCTGGGAATGGAGAATTGATTAATCTGGATTTGGGCGTGAGTCCACTTTTAGGTGGCGAGGGCAGGCGTTTGCTTTTTTGGTGCCCGCCCGGCCGATCCGATCTTCGATCTGAGCGACTGAGGCGTGGACCCGTTCCAGTACGGCGAAGACACCTCCGCGGAGTCGCGGGCGCGTCAGCTGCGGGACCTGGGCCTTTCTCCGGAGGAGGACGGCGGGGAGCTCAGCTCCGCGCAGCTCGGCGCCTTGCGGCTCGCAAAGCGGCGGGGAGAGTCGGTGCAGGCGGAGACGGCGCCACAGAGCTGAGTTTGGAGGCGAGTTCCCCGAACCCACGCGGCCATCCGCGCTGCTAGATGCCGACTCGCAGGTGAGGCGTGCTGCGGAGTACAAGCTTGGCCTCTTCGGCAGCCGAGCTGACGGCTTAGCTGCGAGAGCTGAGCCAAAGGACCTGGCAGTTTGAGGCAAAGCTCTTGGCCGGGAAGCCCAAGTTGATCTGTGCCCAGGGATCCTTCGGAAAACTGCCGCTTGTGTGGATTTCTTGTCCCAATTGATTGCCGCAGCCTCTTGGCTCCTTGGCCGAGCCAACATCCGAGAATGCACTTTCGGGCAGGCCGCGACATAAGCAACTTGAGCTGTTCGCGCATGTTCGCGCGCCCGGAGGCATCTCTTGCCTCCGCGCAGGCCGAGACATGGCCGCGATACCTTTCGCAAGGCCTGCCGCAGCCTGAGATCTGATCCAGTCGGCTCCCGCTCGCGTCAAGTGAGGGGCCCTGTGGCCCATTTTGGGCTTTGCGCGTGTTTGGATGAGGTGCTTCTGGCCTGGGCGGCGTGCCAAGTGTGAGAGATGCCTTGCAAGAGGGACAGTTTGACTGGGTGAGACCAACGTGCCACTGGCCCAAGCGGCAAGGTTTCAAGAGTTTCCGAACAGGTTTAGCCTGGCGCAATGGAGGACTTTTTGCCGCTGTTGTGTTGGATGGCATTTTGCGGCCTGCTGCTTCTCATGTGGCAAGTCACCTCCCGGAAGCGTTGGTGCGCTCAACAAGGCGAGCCAACGCATGCGGGTTTGCAGCTTGGATCCCTGGACTGGCTCGCGAAGGCCATAGGCTTTGCCGCTGGGCCAGCGCGCATTTTCCGATGGTTTCGGCCCGCGCGCATTTTTTGTGCTCGGATGCGCGTTCTTTTCAGGTGACCCTTGAAACGGAAGCGTCTGCTTGTGGAAAGCCCATGCTCTCCAACTTGCTTCCCAGGTCCCGGAAATCGAAGCTGGGGCGCAGGGCATTCTGAGCCTGCAGCTGGAGTCTGTCACATGCCCCTGTGAAACCTGTGTGATTTGCTTGGACTCTTTAAGCACCGCGTCCAAGCTCAGCTGCACCTTGGCATATCTCAGCGTGCCCGTCTTAGGGAGTCGCGAGGAACAAGCTCAAGGGGATCCCTGGATTTTTTTGTTGTGGCCCCTTGAAGTGTGTTCTGTTCTGGGTGGTCCCCAGCCGTCCCCTTAGCTTCTTTTAGGCTTTTGGGGTTTTAGTGGCAGTTTCCATTTTGCCCACTGGAAAATTGAGCTTTTAGCAGGGGATCCGAGGACAGCCCAGTGTTTGTTTCGTTTTCTTGGCTCGTTGACTTGCAGAGCGGCTTACTTGTGGCCGAGGTGGCCACCTCTATCACGCTGCCTGCATCGAGGAGGGGCCATGTCTGCCGTTAAGCTCGGCTTTCAGCCTTCGGGCCTCGTGATCGATTTGGGCTGGTCGAGTTGCCGGGATCGGACGGATAGTTTCCAAACCGAAAGCGCGCGTTTGCGCCTTGAGGGAGTGGGTGAGGCAGCCATTGCGGGCACGGTGCTTGGCAGAAAAGCCGAATCGGATGTGCGAGATATGGCGGCAGTTGACGAGTTAGATGCTGAATTCACGCCAGCGACATGAATGAAGCATACATCACTTACTTAGCAAGAGCGCTCCAGACAGTGAGTGCTTCAGCCAGCGGGTTTGTTTTTTCCGCGGCGTTCAGAACCTTGCTCCCTGATCATGCAGGTGCGGGATCTTCTTTGTTTCAGGGGGCCATATGCTGGGTAGTTTAATCGTTTCGTATTTGCGAGATGGCTTGGGCATCTCCTTGAAGCGTTTCTTCTGACATGTGCATGTATCTGCCTGGGCTAAAGTCCTCAGCTGCAGTCCCTGGGAAGGGAACTAGTGAGAGAGAGAGAGAGGTGTGATATACTGTAGGCAGGCGTGGATACAATGCCTCGCAGGTGGTTCACATTTCGCATCTGGCTCCTTGGCCATTTGAATGGGTCCGATTGGGCGATTTTGGGGCCTTCGTCTGGGAATGGTTTGACCCGACTTGCTTGTGTCCCTGCAAGGAGTGGTGCCTGCAGAGAAGACGGGGTGATATTGAATGTCCGCTCTGTCGAGCGCAGCACACATACTATTCCGTTTGAGATGTTGAGCAAACGGGGAACCGCAGGGCGAGATTTCCGGTTCGCCTGCAGATGCCAAATCCGTGGGAAGAGAGAGAGAGAGAGAGCGATTGGTCAAACCCCTCTTGTTTGTGTATTTCCTACATTTCTTGTGCAAGTGGAGCGTGGGTCATTTTCATGAACAAGTGATAGACAGGACCTATCGTCTTTTTCCCTTCGTGGCCATCATCTCAGTCTTTATAGAAAATTCAATGCATGCATACGATCCGATCGTAATACAACCTCGGACCAAGGCACCAAGAGGTTAAATGCGAAGTGCGTTTAATGTTGACCACGGAATGATAATTATGCCGCTAGTTGATCAATAGCGGGTGTCCCTGTTTAGTGGGAATATTTCACTTTTGGAGGGGAACACCCCATGTTTATTATTCCGAGGTCAACATGTTTAACACGGTCCTTGGCCGAGCAGCTCCGAAATAAAGCTATCATGCTATCGGTGTGCTGCAAGTCGATGAATGGCCAGAATTGTATTTGTAGCGAGGGACGCCTCGAGTGTTTGTTTTGGTATCCATAGTAGCCAACCACCGCTTGTGCTCTTCCTTCGTGCTGGCTCATCACCAGTGAAGCGGGCTCCAGCTGGTTGCTGCTATTCGAACTGGCGAGCTGGTTCGAAAGATTTCTATGTCAGGCTCCAGGAAAAATGTATCCGTGTGGAGGTTGCGTCCGGCGTTGAATCCCATTGAGCATGTGAGCATGTGGCTTACCTCAGAGCTTGGCCCAGCACCTGAGGTCTGGCTTTCACACGTGGCCACGTGCCAGAAGGCACGTGACCATGCACCATGGGCGACTGTCCAAGAGTTTGGATTCCGCTTCCGCGACTTTCCCGAGATGTCGCCTTAGGGTTGCTTCTTGGCCGTAGATGGCTCAAGCCATGCAAAGAGGCACCCAACACCATCCAGCAAAAAAGAATCCAACCCCCAAAAAAATTGTGCCCATCCCACGGCGTGGGTTTTCCTTTCCCATCCCGTCCCAACGCGGGGCTTCCACGGGGCTTTCCGGAGCCATCGGTTTCCTCAGCCTTCCCCCCCGGAGCGTCCGCTGCCATCGCCATGGAGTTGGCCGCCAAGGAGGCGGAGCTGACCAAAGAGGTGCCCAACCTCCTGGAGACCATGCGCCTTGGACGTCAAGGTCGGTAACAAAGGGGCAGAGGATTTTTACCCAGCGAAAAGCCGACCTCAAAAAAGAAGGGTGTAGCTTCCAACCTCGGTTTGCTTGGGTAAGCCGAGACCCCCAAAAAGCCACATTTGAGTGAGCTGAGTGCGGTGCTCTGATTTGCCCCAGGAACAGGACCTCCGAAGAGGTGAATCTCTTCGAGCGCAAAGCCAGCGAAGCGCAAGAGAGGCCCACAAGCGCCCAAGCCTAGGGCTGCGCGCGGTTCAGAGCGCCAGGTACAAGAAGCTCCTGGAGCAATGGAGCCGCCTCTACGAGGCCACCCGCGCTTTTCTTCCGAGCCGATCGATCGCGCCTTTCGGATCGACGGATCGCCACGCCGATTTGAGCTACCCCAGTTGCCCAGTGGCGCCCCCTTTTCTTCCCTTTTTTTCGAGCTCAACCATCCCTTTCAACTCAACGGAAAAAAACAAATAAAAGGAAAAGGAAAAAGGATGCCCTTTTTATCCCCTTCACTGGGCATCTGAGTTGCTTTGGACAGGAGCTGCGCTCGCACTACGGCCAGAACTTCGAGCGCGTGAAGCCCTACTTCGAGGCTTCCGCCGCCTTCCGCTCCGCCTCCGAGCGCGTGCAGGCCGGGGACACGGGAGGCATTGGGAGGGAGACCGAGGGGGAGAGCAAGGGAAGCCAACGGGGGGATAGGGAGACCAGGAGAAAGCCGATTGTGGTTGAGAGAAGGGAAGCGTTTCAACCGGTTTTTTGGGGGATAGGGAGGCCAGAAAGCCGATTGTGGTTCGAGGGCTCCGGGATTCCCGAAGGCAGCGGGTCCGGGATTCCGAGGTGGTGGTCCGGGAGTTCAGTGCTGCGGCCTCCCAGTACAGCCAGGCCAAGGCTGAGCTCCGGAACATCGAGAGGATGCTGGCCTATGGGGCGCACAAGGCCGATGCCGCTGTCGAGTCTGCCGCTGCATCCCCGAAATTCCAAGTAAGAATTACATGTCTTGCACAACTTTCCGCAAGCTTCGGCCTTCCAAGCTGCGAGCGCTTCAGCTCGTTGCCTCAAGCTGGCAGGGAGTTGGTCGGGTCAGGTCCTGGGAGGGTTTAGCCAGATACCTGGGTCGGCTACCACGGGTCAGGTACCTAGTGTTGGTGGCGCCTTGACCTGGCTGGCAGTCGTTTCACGAAAGTATGTTGGTTTCAGGAAAGGCTGGGTGGTTTCAGGAGGTGCCGGGTTGTTTCAGGAAAGCCTGGGTGGTTTCAGGAAAGGCTATGTGTTTCATGAAAGACTGGGTGGTGGTTTCAGGAAAGGTGTGGTGGTGTCAGGAAAGTCTGGGGTGGCTCCAGGAAAGGCTGCGTGGTTTCCGGGAAGGCTGTGTAGTTGCAGGAAAGACTGGGTGCTGGTTTCAGGGGAGGCTGTGCGATTTCAGGAACGGCTGGGTGGTTTCAAGGAAAGGCTGGGTGGTTTCAGGAGGTGCCGTGTGGTTTCAGGAAAAACCGTGTGGTTTCCGGCGAGGCTGTGTGGTTTCACGAAAGAGGATGGTTTGGGGTTGCTTTAGGTGGGGTTTAAGGTTTGTTTTGGGGCTCCCTCAGGGTTGATTTAGGTGTGGTTTTAGGTTTGGTTTTAGGATGTTTTAGGTTTGGTTTAGGGTTGGTTTTAGGTTTGGTTTTGGTCAGGTTTAGGGCCAGCTTCGGGGGTTCATTCAGGGTTTATGTAAGGGCTGCCGCCCAGTGCCGCCGACCCCTTCAGTTGGACTGCATCACCAACAGTCATGATGATAATGATGACTATGCACCCTCTGCATCTCCAATCGGCTCTAACGGGACTTTTGAATCGTGTATGAAAAAGATAAGGATCCTCATCATAGCCGTGGCCCCATCGTCATCATCACGGTTATCATCATCGATGATAACCATCATTATGCATCCTCTGCATCACCAACAGTCATGATGATAATGATGACTACGCACCCTCTGCATCTCCAATCGGCTCTAACGGGACTTTTGAATCGTATATGAAAAAGATAAGGATCCTCATCATAGCCGTGGCCCATCATCGTCATCATCACGGTTATCATCATCGATGATAACCATCATTATGCATCCTCTGCATCACCAACAGTCATGATGATAATGATGACTACGCACCCTCTGCATCTCCAATCGGCTCTAACGGGACTTTTGAATCGTATATGAAAAAGATAAGGATCCTCATCATAGCCGTGGCCCATCATCGTCATCATCACGGTTATCATCATCCACCAAACAGTTAATGATGACTACGCACCCTCTGCATCTCCAATCGGCTCTAACGGGACTTTTGAATCGTATATGAAAAAGATAAGGATCCTCATCATAGCCGTGGCCCATCATCGTCATCATCACGGTTATCATCATCGATGATAACCATCATTATGCATCCTCTGCATCACCAACAGTCATGATGATAATGATGACTACGCACCCTCTGCATCTCCAATCGGCTCTAACGGGACTTTTGAATCGTACATGAAAAAGATAAGGATCCTCATCATTGCCGTGGCCCATCATCGTCATCATCACGGTTATCATCATCGATGATAACCATCATTATGCATCCTCTGCATCACCAACAGTCATGATGATAATGATGACTACGCACCCTCTGCATCTCCAATCGGCTCTAACGGGACTTTTGAATCGTATATGAAAAAGACAAGGATCCTCATCACAGCCGTGGCCCATCATCGTCATCATCACGGTTATCATCATCGATGATAACCATCATTATGCATCCTCTGCATCACCAACAGTCATGATGATAATGATGACTACGCACCCTCTGCATCTCCAATCGGCTCTAACGGAACTTTTGAATCGTACATGAAAAAGATAATCATCATGGCCGTGGCCCATCATCGTCATCATCATGGTTATCATCATCGATGATAACCATCATGATGCATCCTCTGCATCACCAACAGTCATGATGATAATGATGACTACGCACCCTCTGCATCTCCAATCGGCTCTAACGGGACTTTTGAATCGTATATGAAAAAGATAAGGATCCTCATCATTGCCGTGGCCCATCATCGTCATCATCACGGTTATCATCATCGATGATAACCATCATTATGCATCCTCTGCATCACCAACAGTCATGATGATAATGATGACTACGCACCCTCTGCATCTCCAATCGGCTACATGAAAAAGATAAGGATCCTCATCATAGCCCTGGCCCATCATCGTCATATCATCATCGATGATAACCATCATTATGCATCCTCTGCATCACCAACAGTCATGATGATAATGATGACTACGCACCCTCTGCATCTCCAATCGGCTCTAACGGGACTTTTGAATCGTATATGAAAAAGATAAGGATCCTCATCATAGCCGTGGCCATCACGGTTATCATCATCGATGATAACCATCATTATGCGTCCTCTGCATCACCAACAGTCATGATGATAATGATGACTACGCACCCATCATCGATGATAACCATCATTATGCTTCCTCTGCATCACCAACAGTCATGATGATAATGATGACTACGCACCCTCTGCATCTCCAATCGGCTCTGACGGGACTTTTGAATCGTATATGAAAAAGATAAGGATCCTCATCATAGCCGTGGCTATCATCATGGATGATAACCATCATTATGCATCCTCTGCATCACCAACAATCATGATGCAGAGACGTAGTCACCCTCTGCATCGTCATCATCATTGTTATCATCATCGATGATAACCATCATTATGCATCCTCTGCATCACCAACAGTCATGATGATAATGATGACTACGTCCAATCGGCTCTAACGGGACTTTTGAATCGTATATGAAAAAGATAAGGCCTCTGCATCGTCATCATCATTGTTATCATCATCGATGATAACCATCATCGTGCATCCTCTGCATCACCAACAGTCATGATGATAACGATGACTACGCACCCTCTGCATCTCCAATCTCATCATCATGATAATCCCACGCATCTTTTGCATCACCAATGGGCTCTAACGCCACACTTGAAATGTATACTGCACAAAGACATGGCGACGACTACGTATCAGCACCACCCGTCGCCCATCATCGTCATCATCACCGTTATCATCATCGATGATAACCATCATCGTGCATCCTCTGCATCACCAACAGTCATGATAACGACGCACCCTCTGCATCTCCAATCTCATCATCATGATAATCATGTCCACGCATCTTTTGCATCACCAATGGGCTCTAACGCCACACTTGAAATGTATACTATACAAAGACATGGTGACGACTACGTATCAGCATCACCAGCAGTCCTCATGATAATCATGTCCATGCATGATGATGATGATGATGATGATGATGATGATGATGATAACTATCATCGAAGCATCCTCTGCATCTCCAATGGTGATGATAACTATCATCGTGGCAACGCATCCGCAGCACCCTTCCCGTGCGCCTCCCCCTTTCAGGAGCAGGGGTCGGCGGATTTAGGGTTAGGTTTGGGTCGGGGGGCGGCAGCCCCCCCCATGATGTTGGGAAGGGTGATGATTCAAACAAAGGTAATAACGCTTAATCTAAAAACACAGCGGGGGGTCGGGGGGGCGGCGGCCCCCCCCATGATGTTGGGAAGTACGGGAAGCCCAAATCAGGAAAGGCCGGGTGGTTTCAGGAGGTGCCGGGTGGTTTTAGGAAGACTGGGTTGTTTTAGGAAAGGCTGCATGGTTTCAGGCAACGTTGGGGGGGTCGGTTTAGGGTCGGTTTAGGGTCGGTTTAGGGTCGGTTTAGGGTTGGTTAGGATTGGTTTAGAGGTTGTTTTAGGGTTGGTTTAAGGTTGGTTTAGGGTTGGTTTTGGGTCGGTTTAGGGTTGGTTTAGGGTTGGTTTAGGGTTGGTTTAGGGTCGGTTTAGGGTCAGTTTCCGGTTGGTTTAGGGTTGGTTTAGGGTTGGTTTAGGGTCGGTTTAGGGTCGGTTTAGGGTCGGTTTAGGGTTGGTTTAGGGTTGGTTTAGGGTTGGTTTAGGGTCGGTTTAGGGTCGGTTTCGGGTCGGTCGGGTTGGTTTAGGGTCGGGGTTTTCGGGTTGGTTTAGGGTTGGTTTAGGGTTGGTTTAGGGTTGGTTTAGGGTCGGTTTAGGGTTGGTTTAGGGTTGGTTTAGGGTCGGTTTCGGGTTGGTTTAGGGTCGGTTGAGGGTCGGTTTAGGGTTGGTTTAGGGTTGGTTTAGGGTTGGTTTAGGGTTGGTTTAGGGTTGGTTTAGGGTTGGTTTAGGGTTGGTTTAGGGTCGGTTGGTTTAGGATTGGTTTAGGGTTTGTTTGGGGTCGGTTTAGGGTTGGTTTAGAGGTCTGTGGTTGCAGGAAAGGCTGGGGCGGTTCATGAAAGAGTGATTGGTGGTTTCAGGAAAGACTGGACGGTTTCAGGAAAGGCTGTGTGGTTTCAGGAGGTGCTGGGTGGTTTCAGAAAAGGCTGAGCGAGGCTGTGTGGTTTCACGGAAGTGTGTATGAATTTACCGGGTAGTTTCAGGAAAGACTAGGTGGTTTCAGCAGAGGCTGTGTGGCTTCAGGCTGGGTGGTTGTTTCAGGAAGTGGTTTCAGGAGAGGTTTGGTGGTGTCAGGAAAGTCTGGGGTGGTTCCAGGAAAAGCTGCGTGGTTTCAGGAAAGGCTGCGTGGTTTCAGGAGGTGTCGCGTGGTTTCCGGCGAGGCTGTGGTTTTCACGAAAGTGTGTGTCGCATATGATGTTGGAAGTCTGATGGTTAAGGGTTGATTTAGGTGAGGTGTGGGGTTTGTTTAAGGCTCCCTTAGGGTTGATTTAGGCGTGGTTTTAGGTTTGGTTTTGGTTTGGTTTTAGGATGTTTTAGGTTTGCTTTAGGTGGTTTTAGCGGTTGTTTTAGGGTCGGTTTAGGGTCAGTTTAGGGTTGGTTTAGGGTTGGTTTAGGGTTGGTTTAGGGTCGGTTTAGGGTCGGTTTAGGGTTGGTTTAGGGTTGGTTTAGGGTTGGTTTAGGGTCGGTTTCGGGTCGGTTTCGGGTCGGTTTCGGGTTGGTTTAGGGTCGGTTTAGGGTTGGTTTAGGGTTGGTTTAGGGTTGGTTTAGGGTTGGTTTAGGGTCGGTTTAGGGTCGGTTTAGG